GTTTGAACTTTTAAGTGTCCTTCAAAGTTCAAACCATTGCTCAAAGCGACAGATTTCCCATGTCCTTTCTCGAGATCCCCGTGTTCTGCTTCCTGGGCTCTCCCTCCAGAGTCCAGACTCGCTTTTCTGCCCGTCTTTTCTTATCAAGATCGGACCTTGTTAAACCATCAAGATTCCCAGATGAGGTTAGACAACCAAACGCAATAGCAAAACTATGGTATATTGTTGACCCAGAAATAATTATGATAACAAAAACATTTATCGAGTTTAGGACTCAAGGCAACATTATTAGTTTTCCATGCACTCCTCCGCAATGGCACATACAGCCTTAAAAAGCATCCCATCCAGCTCCAAATTACAACAGCAGAGACCCCGGTTGATCTTAAATTTTCAAGGGAGGGGCTTTGAGCCAAAGCAAACGTGTATGAATAACCTGAACTCGGTCGCTGAATTACACATTAGCTTTGATTTGCAGGAAGTCACGCAGTGATACTTGCCCAGCATGTACACCAGCCGTGAAACTTATCCGTCATTTCTCCCGCTGTACGTAACACATGCAATACCCTTTGAATTAAGCACAACGCACGCATCACTGTCATCACAATAAGGAGTGCGAGGTGGCTGTCCTTGCCTTGAAGATTCTGTTGATCATATTTGAGTCCTTTCCTTGAAGATTCTGTTGGTCATATTCGAGATGCTAATCTTCAAATAACCTGCAATAAATGTGGGCCACTGTACCATTTCAAACTTAAAGAACTAAGAAAAAGGCTGTACAAAGTATGGAAACTGGTAAAAATTCACCATGGTAATACGTCTTATAAAAAGAAAGAAAGAAACAAGGACCATCCTTTACTGAATTCTACAAAATTCCCCTCTGTCAATCTTGTTTTACAAAGCACTAACTGATTTCCTCTGTTTTTTTTCCCCAAACGAGGGTAGTATTCGTGAAAAAATGGTAATCCCACACCTGGCCTTTGGCATTCGGGTTGGGAGTTAATGCACCTCCGAGGAAACACAAGGCATTAGAAGATAACAACACGCGCTGGCGGCACGCTCATACACAATCATAGTACATGACAAGTAAACTAGAGGCATCTTTTAAAGTGTCTGCTGACGTTGAGCAGCTTTTCCGCGCTGAGAGAATGGATGAGGGGATTTTCTTTCCACCTCCAATATGAGGAAGCATGGCTTCATTTTGTCTCTAGCGTTCATGGCAACTAGATTTTGCAGAATTCTTTTTATGAATCGTATCCTTCCCTTCATTGGTGGATATTGGTCATTGTGTCTTTATTTCTATTAGTTATGAATTTCCAAATGCGCTCAGAATTTGGACTTAGTCCTCAGGTCTGTAGCCCATAGCGACATCACCAGCCGAATCATACATGGTTTTTAGTCTGAGAATTCTTTTTGGTAGATCTTCTTAAACCAAGGCTCGTTCTTCTATTCTTCCCTTGTCTTTCAGATAAAAAAATTAAATTTTCCAACCATAACTTCA